TTTTTTAAATGAAACTCTCCAAGATATGATTTTAAATCACCTTTTGACTTTGACAATGCCAGACAACCAAACTATTGCAAAAAGTGGTGCATGATTTATTAGCTTTGATAAAATTCAATATCTTTGTTATTACCTTCTGTCTAGACCAATATTTTTATGCAATAATAGGTACTCCATTTTTCTTTGTACAATAGCACAAGATGGATGGAGAGAGTTTTTTAGCATCAGTTTTTAAACCTTTCCATAGAATCACAATTAGACTAGTATCTGCATTTTGACTAGGCCATGCCAAAACCTTATTATTTTTTATCTGAAACATTTTACTGTATTTCATGCTAGATATTAATTTTCATTGCCCTGTGATAAACTATCCCCAAAGCAGGATTCTGCAACCTCGTTGTTTCTTAGTAAGGATAATGTGTTGAGGATACAAGCCTTCTTCCTGCCTCTCTTCTTTAAATCTGTAGTGTATGTGATGAAAATCTCTCAAGGAACCTAAACACAAGGTTGGTGATACAGATGTGATTAAGTTAGGAGTATGATTAGGTTTTTAAACAATATTGTAAGCTCTGAACATCTCACGGAACAAGTTCTGAGAGCACAGTTTGATCCCTCAACTAAAATTACAAACAAAAGAAAAGAATCACAACTACAAAACTGAAATCCAAGCTGGAGAAGAAGAGCATTCATAAGAGAAGTAGCTTAGAGTCCTGCTTGTATCTCCTCGGAAGTTCGGATATGAGAAATATTTGAAGCAAAAAAAAAATTGTTAGTATTAAACAAAAGAAATTAACTTTCCTAGAACAGTGGCAAAATAAATTACCTGTGGCAAGAGAGTCATAAGAAGATCCATTTGCAACCTAGTAGGTGCTGCATCATCCCCTGGGGAGAATTTGCTTATGCAGCAACAGGAAAGCACAGAAATTGATGGGAAAATGGATTCAGATAAAAACAGGACAATTCTTAAAGAAAACTTGTTAGAGCCTTCAAAAGACCAAACTAGAGGACAAATATCCTAAACATGCATTGAGGGCTACAACAGAACAGCTCAGATCTAAGTGTGATTATGTGGTAGAATTGACAAACCAACGTCCAGTTGAGAAACTGGAAGGATTTTAAAATGCTTTTGAATCTGAAAGAGTTGAGCTATTTGTGTAAGAAGGACTCCCAGAAAATTTTTTTTATCTAAGAGAGACTTCTCGCTGTTAAACATACGTTTTAGAAAAAGAAGTGCCTTTGTTAGAAAAGTCGTCATATTTTAAAGAGTATCAAATAACTAAAAGCAAAAGTAAATACTCTTTTTATCCATTTTATCCAGTCAAGTTTTTAAATCAACCATTTTAAACGGAGTATGTATTAAAAATCTACCATCCATCCATCCATCCATCCATCCATCCATCCATCCATCCATCCATCCATCCATCCATCCATCCATCCATCCATCCATCCATCCATCCATCCATCCATCCATCCATCCATCCATCCATCCATTCATTATCTGACACGCTTGTCCCAATTGGGGTTGCGAGGGGGGCGTCAATGGGCAAGAGGCAGGGTACACCCTGGACAGGTCGGCAAAATCTTCAAAAACTCCAAATTTTTAGCTTTATGCTTTTTTATGTAATGAATGATGCAATATTTTTGTGAATACTCGTGTTTTCCCTTTTTATTTTATTTGGTTTTACACTCATTATACTTACGTTTATTAAGGAAGTTGTATTTTTGTTTAGTTTTTTCCATGCTTGCTTTTAACGCAAAAGAGCAGCATTCTATACAAGTTTTATACTTAAAAACCTGTATATATATGCTATATAAATTCTATAAAGCACTGCTCTTTTATGTTAAAAGCAATCGTGGATTTAAGTTTCTTATTCTGAATTTCTCTAGATCACTTTATGAAGGGTTTAATCAGCTTTTCATGTACAATTGGTGTTAGATAATTTATTTGGATATTATTCAGCTGTTTCTTTTTTGTTTACTTTTTTTTTTTTTTTTAGAAAAATAATATTTAGATGATTTTGGCCTTAACAGAACAGCCTATACTAATCAAATAATTTCTAAGACAGATGATATCATTTTGGATGAAACCTTTCCACACATTTGTGCAGACAGCCAAAGCTTATCTGGAGCTTATCTGAAGAAACAGCTTTCTTCCTTCCCACCTGCTGCTGTTGTCGTCCCCTGTTGGCTGTCGCTGTCCGTGAGCTTTAATGTAAAAGAGGAAAAAAAAAAAAAAAAAACTCCTCATGCTCTCCTTTTTTAGATTTGGATGTTTAACTTAGAAAAAAAATAGACTAGTCCCCCCATACACCACCTCCTGAAGGCCCACAGTCTTTTTTCTTCTTGTTCCCCTCGACCAACCCCTCTCTGCATATCAGCACAGTCCCCTCTTAGACCTCCCCACACAAAGCTTCACAGAAATCATAGCACACCATTCAATCATTGTTTTTTCCCCTCTCTCACCCCTTTTTTATGGTCCCACTAAAGGTTTTAACCGGGCAGAGAAGGAGGGCTGTCACTGAGGAAACCTTAGCCCATTGATGAAGTGACAGGAGCTGCCAGAATATGATCCTAATCCTGTTTCCAGCATTCTTTTAGCCTGCTGGCATCGCAATTCCTCCACACATTCTCTGAGCTGTCAACTAGGAAAATCCCTCTAATAGTGCATTGCCCAGATACACATCAAAGAGCTCTTGGAAACCTTCAGCGGCTTAGCTGCCATAGACACACTCATACACACCATTCCCGTTACCTCACAAGTCCCACAAGCGCACAAAAAAACCCACATAATCACAACAGTTTGACCACACATTTTAGGAGCACGTATACCAAACCAGTTCTAAATGATTAGTGCACCTGAAAATAAAGTTTTAATCTCCATGTAAACATTGATCTCCTCTTCTGCATCAAACATGTTTTATGATGGACATGAAGCTGGATAGAGAAGGAAAGGAAAACAGGTGTCAGAACTTTGCTGACTCCAAAACCCTTTTCAGTCCTATTTTATCTCATTCTATTCTTACTTAATCCATCGATATCCCAACCAAAGGTAATCTTCTTAAGGCGAGGCATTCTGTTTCGGTGCAGCCAAACCTCGACTGACAGGGTGGGGGAGGACGGCAGGGCGGCGTGTAGGAGTGGGCGGGTAGATTGGAGACTCTTTAGAGTCTGACACTTTGCTTCAGTCATTTCATGTAGGATTAATTCTTCTACTCCGGGTGAACAAGTGGCAGCTTCTCCCCTATGTGGTGTGTAAAACCTATTCCCGAGGATGCTAGACCCCCTGTGTCCAAATTATTTATGGATCCTCAAGGTGTCTTCAGTACCTGAGTTCGATTTGCACCACAAAAGGTCTGGAATCAGAACTATTTAGTGTCATTTTGACTGACTAGCAAAGAACAAGTTGATTCTGTTGAAACTTATCAAATTTTTTACCGATTGTGTTTTCATACTTTTAGCTATTTTTATGCAAGCATGGCTCCATGGGAGTTTAAACCTTTAAAAGGTGATAAATTATCAAAGTGTGTTGAATGATATTCAATCCTATAAACCGTAAAGCATTTAATTAGGGACAATGAGTCCTTTTTTCTCCTAAACAATTAGACCAACACACCCTAATGATTTATCTGTAGGCTCTCTGCTATGAGAGGTTGTGAAGGATTTATTTTCTGATTAGAGCTATAGTTGTTCCAAGTTTGTTTGAGAAATAACAGCAAAAAAAAATTCTATTTTAAAACACAATTGAAATCCTTACAGTCTAAAAAACATAAAATATCTCCAGTGTCTTGCATTAGTGTTTAGCATAGGTAGCCATGAGCTTGTATAAAAGGTTAAGGAATCAATGAATCAGCCTGTGCTGCTTCAGTCTAACTTTTCAGCTGATTTGGTCAAAAAAAACAACAACTCATCATTAGTCTGCAGGGATTATTTTTGGACCTGGACACCACAGGAACACTGTCTTTATTGCTGCAGCTAAACAGCTAAAAACCATATTCAAGAGCTATCTTCACCTTTTGGGGAGCCAGAGAAAGCCAACTGAGTTGCGACTGATGATGTTTTATATAGGAACATGATGTAGCTTTATATAGGAACATGCATTTTGTTGGCAAACCCAAAACGGTAACCTACTAAACGTTACGGCCTGTTGCGAAGTTGTAGACTGCTAATATCTGCTAACAAAGCTTCTGGTATGAATATGTTTGGTTTGAGATGTTTTGTTTTGCGAATTTCATCTAAAAGAAACATCATACAGGATCTAAGGATTACTTACTTTTCAGCACGAGGTAATGTGTCATGTGTCATCTTTTCTCTACAGGTAAAATATTACTGATCATTTTAAAGAACTTTGTTTAAAAATCTAAAAATTGTGATTCACAAACTGTAAAAATTGGACTCTCTGTGTTTATTGCCTGTAACTCTGACATTTCTAACAGAAAATCCAAATCCAAATCCAGCATGCTTCACCCCAGAAGTTAAAGCTCTAAATAATATCTTGCTGTACTCCTTCCAGTCTTTCTTCATTTTAGTCTAACTCTTACTATATTGTAGGAAATTCAGTTTTCTTTTATACATGTTTTTATATAACTTTTAGTCTTCTAAACCCTGTAAAAACATCTAACAGTGTTGTCACCACTACCTAGTCCATCCATCCATCCATCCATCCATCCATCCATCCATCCATCCATCCATCCATCCATCCATCCATCCATCCATCCATCCATCCATCCATCCATGTTATTCCTGGTGAGGCTTGCTCTGGGGCAGGTGCTTATCTCCATTTGGACAACATAAAACACAAGACAAACCATCATGCATGAACGGATGAAAAGCAACAACAATTTAGAGAGGCTAGTTCACCCATATACCCATTGCAGACAAAAAGCAGAGCTAACAATGGAGTCACAATAAAAGCTTTTTTGTTTCATTGATAATGCCTCAGCTCATATTTGAAAGATCTGATAGAGTTTTGCAAATAAAAATACAAAAGTCCCACGCAATGACACAGTTAACACTTCATTTACAATTTATTCTCTTGCATTAAACAGATAAATTATTCATATCTTAACCAAATTGACAAATACAGGTCTTTAATCTACAGTGATATATCATACAGAGATTTAGCAATATCTTTCTTTCTGCTCAAGCCAGTGGCAAGCGCAAAAATGTTGGCAACAGCAGTTTCTTTTGCCCAGTACTTCATTTCTGTGGTTAAAGCCATTGCTGGAGGTTAAACAGATTTTTTTTCCCACTCAAACCTCATGCACAAAGTTGAATTGGTTTGCTTTGAAACAAGTCAGGTGGAGCTGAGCATTGGGGGATATTTACAACACCATTTAGTCCGAGCTAAGAATCGTACCTTTGAACATGGAGGTCATTGTGAGTTATTAGACCTGCATACTGTATGTGGCATCTGGTCTCTTTCTGCTCTCATGATAGCTTTGTTGGGTGGCTTAAAAGCCATGCTCCAGAGGAGCTCATGCATGCACATTTAAAGTTTAATGAATAGGTTTAAACTATATTTTAATCGCCGATGAGCATTTGGAGAAGTGAGCACCAACTAATATTGCTGGACTTCATTTGAAGAACATCCATGAATGATCCAGAGCCTTCCATGGCAACTGCAGTCAAGATGCTTATGGTTGTTATCCCTTAAGTCAAAGTTTCTTTTAGTTTGGGGTGATTCTTCTTATCTGATGACGATAACAAGGAATCAGTAAAGTGTGTGTTGACAATCCATATTCAGGTAGGTTCTCCTAAGTGTTAACTTTGTGTGTTAACACAGTTTCTGTTGTCTAAAAGCTTCGAAGGGCCTTTAACTCCTGTTCACCATTGAACCATGGCTTTCATAATTAAAATTAAACATTAGCATTTGCTATTCAGCAAAATTTTATCTCTCATTTTGGATGGACATCAAATATTTGGTCACCCAACAGTCTTGTGATATAACTGATGATTACAGTGATGGGTTCTTGGACTTCTGCCAGAAATTTGCATGGATACATAAAGTTGCTTTGAGATGTTGAGAGTAAAGTAGGTTTGCTGGCCTAAAATAGAGCCAGAGTTCAGTTAGGAAGCGTGTCCAGTCCCAGTGAGGCCGCGTGCTGCTTTGCTCTCAGCCGCAGGTTCTCAATGCTTGTGGTTTTGCTGTTGAGGCTTCCCGGTAGGCTGCTTGGTGCCGCCTGCAGCAGCGGGCTGTTCCACACCTGTTGGGCTTGTGATAGGGTCTGATAGTAGGATTGGCATGGCAGCGAGCCCAGTGGGGAAGGCATGTTGACGTTCATACCCAAGTAGGGCAGGGAGGAGGGAGTGCTCATGTCAAATGATGGGTAGTGTACAAGGTTGTTTGTAGCTGCCATGTGCTGTCGAAACTGCTCCTGCAGTCGAAAGAGGCTGAGGGGAGATGAAGCGTAGGAGTTGCTCTGAACTAACCCACTGGTTACACTGCTGGAGGATGGCAGTGCAGGGGAGCTTATTGGAGAGTCTGAAAGACAGAAAGAGAACAGAAATTTCAGGATTAATTTAATTAATTGAATTCAGTTTACATTCAGTCCAGTCAAAATGGAAATCATACAGATTTATTAAATAGATATTTGTACCTGATGTAGGGCTTAGTCTTTTGCAGGCTGGAGAGCTGCTACCCATCTGGGCAGACCCCTCTCCTTGCACCTCCTCCCTGAGTTTCACCCTTGATTCCCCGCTTATTTCCTCCTCCTCTCGCTCAGCGTTATCTTCTGCTGCTGACTCGCTGTCCGATGGCTCTGGGGACGTGACGTTGACTTCCACGCTCAACTCTCCTGGCTGAGGCCGTGCTGCGGCCATCCTTTCTGACTCTGAATGACAGGATGAAGAGGAGGAAGGAGGAGGTGGAGGAGTGCAAACCTCAGGAACCACAGTAGTGGTTGAGTTAGGAGTTGTTGTGGGGTCTGTTTTAGAGTCTTCTGGTGAGCCATCAGCAGCCCCTGATGCTTCCTTCTGCTTCTGTAGTTGTTCCTTTTGAAGGCTGCGCTGCTTCTTGCGAAATTTGGCCCGACGGTTCTTGAACCAGACCTGGCAGAAGAATGGATACATTTAGGTGCTATATTTAAATTAAAATACTTAATGCCTTATCAGGAACATCCTGATTTTACCTGCACACGGGCCTCAGGCAGGTTGGTGCACATGGCAAGGCGCTCCCGCATAACTACATCAGGGTAGTGTGTCTTCTGGAAGGTCTTCTCCAGGGCCTCCAGCTGCTGAGCAGTGAAGGCTGTACGACTGCGTCGCTGTTTTCTGTGTTGGGAGCCATAGCGGGCCTCAAGGATAATGTCTTGAAATGTACAACCGTTGAGAAAAAGAAAAACGACCAGTTTAATTTAAGGGACTGGCAGGGTGGAGAGTAGAGCTCTTATTTAACTGTCATGTTACTTAACAAGCCACAGCCGTGGCAGAGGTACTGGTAAATTCAAAGAGAAAATGTGCAACTGATTCTTACCTGCAAGTCTCTCTGCAAGAGTTAAGGCATGCACTGAGGGCCTGTAGTCAGGTGCATGCTGCGCTTGCTGCGCCGCCTGTTGGTGAAGGTTGTACATAGCACTCAGGGAATTCATGGCGTGCAGAGAGTAGCCGTTCACCCCGTAGTGCTGCATGGCTGAGGAGATTTCTGCAAGCACAGATTTTTCAGGGATTTTCGTCAAACGTGAGGAATAAAATAAATTCAACTCGCAACACGTCAAACGATGCTGCGTATTGGTTTATTGGTCGCTCAAAAGACCAATATGTATGTAGATAGATCTGTCATAAATTTTATGTAATAAGTTTGAATTTAATGAAAAGGTTTTCTCTAGATCTGCATATCATTCCTTATTATTTTTATGATTCAATAATACTTTATGAATCCCTATACATATATATATATATTAAATCATATATATATATATATATATATATATATATATATATATATATATATATATATATATATATATATATATATATATATATACACATGATGATATGATTTAATATGATTTAATATGACAATTCCGCTGTAATAGTAGAGGTGCTAGTTTTAGTTTTATTTCCATGCACAATTATTTAAACAATCATAATATGTTTTAAAAATACAATATACGTTCTAAAGCTTAACAGTTACAGTTTTATGAAAAAGTATAAAAATAAAGGCTTTGCATATATATATATATATATATATATATATATATATATATATATATATATATATATATATATATATATATATATATATATATATATATATATATATATATATATATATATATATGTTTATATTTAGTTGTTTATATTTATTTATATTTTGTTGGTTAAAATGTGATGTTTGAATTGTTGTTAGTAGTGCAATAAAATATATTTTCCTTTTGAACTTACTATCTTATTACACCATACGAAGCTACACTTGAGAACATTAGATTTTAGAAAACAAAATTTAATTTTTCGTCCCGAACAGTGTTGACCGGAGGGGGAGAATCTGTGGAGGATCCCAGGTCACTTTTAGACGCCTGCGGGCTGACGGGGAGAACCGTGAACAGGTCATCAGAGAATTACGCACCGGATTCCCCACTGGGTTGCGTTTTCTAATGCGTCTGAAAATAGGTTTCAACTTTACAAAGCTATTAATTTATCATCTGACCTGACCCGTGAAAGGTGGGCCACCATGTGCTGCTGGGACTTTGATTTTAAAATATTGGATAAATGTATAAAAAAAAAAACACCTTATAGGCCTATTTTTTAATTTTATTTAATTTCATGGAAATGCTTTCAAGCATGCATAAAAAACTAATTGTATAACCTGTTTCATTGATCTCCAATCTGCGCTTTTAAACATAACATAATGCTCTTCTTTCAGGACAATGCCACGGAGCCTCGGGCTCTGATTAAAGCCTAATTATGCTTATTACCGTGGATTTATGAGTTATGCTGCATTTAGTAAAGAACAGCCTCAGGGCCGGAGCTCAGCGTGGAGGCGTCAATTTAGCATCAATATTAATCTAAAAGGGTTTGGAGATGTAAGGCTGAAATTATAGAGCCAACATAAACAGACAACCCAATGAATTCTTTTTTTTCAGAGTTTGGTATAATTTACAGCTTATTTAGAGCTTATTTTAATTTATTATTATTTTAAAGGTTATGTAAGGTTATTTTAACCTTCTATGATATATGAGGATATTTTGTTTATCATATAAAAATAACACGATAAAAGCAACGCTTTAAACGTATTAAATATTCCACTTTGTTCGCACAAATTATACACAAAACTAACACCGCGTTTTAACTTTTGATTGAGCAAAAGCCTTACCTGTATTCTCTGCAATCTGTAGATGTATCCACCAGAATGAAGATGCGCTTCACTTCTTTCCAAAGTTTACCAGCCGCACTTTCCTGCTCTTCACTCCCGTTGTCCTTTAGTTTACCGTCTTGAGGATAGTCCGCTGCGTGCGCTGCGCTCCGCGGACCGCTCAGTGTTTGCTGTGGTTGTGGGGAGGATGCAAAGCTGCCATCCAAGAGCTTTTAAACCGCTCCGGGTGGGGTCACCGGGGACGCACGGACGCTCCAATCGGTGCACCAATCACGTGGCGTTGCTCCTCTTTATCCTATAGCGGGCCCCTCCCCTGTCCGTGGGACCCCAGGTTTAGGATCACACCTGAGTTGATCATAAAAAAACATAAACATTTCTTTAATAGTTGTGCAGATATTTAATGATCCTGCACAGTTGATTAAATTGAAATTTTTTGGAGATGTGACCATTTCTGTGAACAATTTCACATCTATTATTAACATAATAAATCAATAAATATGATATTCTGGTAATTATATGGCATTTTTGTACAAAAACAAGAGTCAAACTAGTATTAAAAAAACCCTTACATCTGTTTTCTATCCGTTTTTGGATTTTACTGTAAAGTGACAAAAACATCCTAATGTTCACGCAGTCTTATAAAATAAATGATAACATAAAATCTGCCATCTCCAACATTGAAGCAGGTTGTTATTTTTTCTATAGCAAATATGTTTCTGTAAATCAAATACTGACCTGTTAATAAATAATAAGTGATGGAACCGTCTGATGTTGTAAAACATTTGCATAAGTCAGGAAATCTAATCTGAAGTTATGAGATATTTAAGAGAATTCATAAAAAAAGAGATCCGTCATCGCGGGTTAATTAAATGATATGCAAATGCCAGGCTCAGATTAGGCCCTTATGCGCGCTGTGCGGTGAGCGCCGCGCGGCCACTCTCGGGTTAACGCCGCGCGCTCTTCAGTTTTCCTTTGCAATTTCCGCGCGTTTTGTTGGGAATGCTGCAGAGATGGAGAGATGCAGGCCGGGGAGCCGCTGTGCCTCCAACAGCTCCCCGGCCCCGCAGGGATTTGGGTTAGAATTGGGTAGACAAGACGCCATTTCACCCCTCCAAAAAATGTCTTAAAATGACTGCTGGTAAGAGGATTAAAACAATAATACCCACTCCTTCTTCTTCGAGTTTTTTTTTTTTTTTTTTTGAAAAGATTCCTTCTTGCGAAGAAAACCCGTTTAGGCTGGAATTAAGGGCAGCCAAAGTAGCCGTTTAATGTAAAGCCTGTGTATATTTGCACATTTTAATTCTAGGGGCAGGTGAAGACAGAGAGGAGGCTAAGGTTGGAGATTCAATCCCCAAAATTTTAGAAAAATAGGAATGTTTTCCTGTGGACAATCTTGCATATATTTTTGTTTGTTTCATGATACACGACATTATGAAATGGGAAATCTAACAATGTTGCAACAAGTGGTTATTAATTAAAAAAGTTTTTTTTTTGAAAAAAAATAAAATCACCTAAAATAATCGAACAATTTTTATCTACTCATATTTTCCTCTTTTTCCGACCTTGTTTTTTCCCCTTCTCTGTATTGTTGTCTGTAGCCTATAGCTGCCGTGTATTTGGCCCTTAAGGGGTAGAAATCGGATTAACTTGTGAACCGATGGAAATAAGAACTTAAACTGGAGGTAAATCTGGGCAGTGTCTCTTTGTGGGGACCGTTTCTAAAGCAATTAAAGCGAGAAGGAATTTCTCTCAGCTGCTCTTCCTTAAACCAGCTTTCTTACGAGACCTAATGCGGCCTAATGTCCAGCGTGGCTCAAGGCTTTCAGTGGGAGAGTCAAGAGGCCCGGGTTTGAGGGATATTACAGGCCAGCAGCAGCGGTCCGTCCTGGCCGTCTGTTAATGTGCATACTGCCATAATATTTACTTTGTAACACGTAAAGAAAGAAAAAAAAAAAAAAGAGAAAAAAAGAGCCAAATCAGAAAAGAAGTTGGACTATTCTCCCGTTTCTTTGACAGGGCATCAGTCCCTGGTGGTCTAGTGGTTAGGATTCGGCGCTCTCACCGCCGCGGCCCGGGTTCGATTCCCGGTCAGGGAATGTCTTTTTCCCCATTTAGGTACATATATCAATATCATTAATCATGGTTGCGCCCAAGAACTATTGCAAGAGCATGTTTTAGTGCAGGTGCAAGTGTTGTTTCCTTCCAGCTGGTCTCAGACTCTTAAGTAAAAGCTGGCAGTCAACCGCTCACACAGTTATACTTATCAAAACATATATGCAATGTGTTGGAGTGGAGTGCTGTTGTGCTTAAATTGATTTATATGAATATGTGTGTACGATGAATACATACTTTTCTACTTTGATTATATATCTTACGTTAGGTCTCTTTTTTCTGATCATATATTCTCTGATATAATTATATTTCTGCAAATCATTAATTGAAACCCAATATTTTATTGCTAATTGATACTCTCATCTCACTCAAAAACTGTTTAATGCAGTCTCCAGTTATTTTGGTTCTTTCCAATGATGTAGGTGTATTTAGATAGTAATTACTCCGAAGGTCAAGTTTTGAGTATTTGATAATAGTTTTGAACCCTTATATGCACAATGCAGTTTATAACTCCCCAACTTTTGTATATTTCCATGACATGTTCATTGTTTTCTCCTTTCTGGCTGCATCAGAGCGTTGTCTTGTTAAAGCCTCTGCTTAGATCTGAGTTAAAGACTTCAATTATCCCTTCGCTTGCAAACTTCTATCCCTGCATCAGGACTTTGGCAGCAAAAATCAACGCTCAGGCGTGGAAGCTGCAGGGATTTATAAATCATCTGCAGTTTTAATCAGGTTTATAATGCGTGAATGTTTGTAATTTTACCCCTCAAAAGGCTCAGAATGGAATTGCATTTCAACTTTAGAAGAAAGTTGTTGCAGTCTGCCTTCCGAGCTCATTAACTTTCATCATTAGGTTGTTCCTCTTACTTCCTGCATATATAAGGTTTTACACCAGCAGCTGTGGCCAGCACATGCTCTAAGTCAAGGTTAGCTTGTGCTCATTTGGGTGAAATTAATCATTTTGATGCATGGTTCAGAATTGACTGCTTCAGTGGGACTTGTGTGACTGGAGTAACAAAGCAGCTTGCCATTAGAAGTCCTCTGGCTGTGTATTAGTGGGTCATTCACATTGAAGTCTGTCCACACATGTGCTGGATCTCCAGATTCACAGCCTCTATGTTTATCAACAGTCAGGAGTGTGTTCCATCTAGCTCATATCCAATGTGTTTTAGTTGACATGTTTTCTATCCATTAATTTAGCATGGACACACAAAGTAAGTGAATTGAGTAAAACAAAGCAACCAAAGGATGGATAACTAATGGCTTCTGACAAGGGCTGCAAGAGCTCCAAAGGTTAGTTTAATGCATATTTTACCCAGATCTACTCAATGTATGCGCAAGCTGCTGTCAATCTTTCAAAACTAACAGAAAGATTTTTTTAAACCACTATAATTTTCCATCAATGGCTCCCTTTTAAAGAGATACCAGAAGAAATGCTAGTGTTCTATAGTACTATAAAACATAGATTAAAGATGTCCCCTCCTGTATCTGGGCTGGTCAGTTGGCCCATGCATTATAAAAAAACTTCCATACTTTCTATATTTCTAGACAAAAAAACCACTGATAGTAATGTTTTTATAGCTAGAGCAGCATAACCCTTCATAGCTGACTGTTAACGGTAGCCTGTGTGTCAAACAGCTGGCTGCAGGCTGCCAACCTGAACGTATAGCCTGACTGATTTGCCATCTAACAATCAGCTGTTTATGAAAATGGCAAACAAGTATTTCAGTGGAAACTAACAAAACTTTTATTGAAGTGAGGTATTAAAATAAAGATAAATGAAATTATCTTTACATTTAAACAAACCATTGTGTTGTGTTATCTCTCTCATGTTCTCTCTCTCTCTCTCTCTCTCTCTCTCTCTCTCTATATATATATATATATATATATATATATATATATATATATATATATATATATATATATATATATATATATATATATATATATATTTCATTATTTATTTTTATTGTTTGTTTTTTTTTCAAAATCATTTAAAAAATCCCTTTCTAATAATTGTAAAGGAAATGTCATGAAACGGAAGAGAAGGAGCCAGTATTCAAGGCAAGACTGACAGTTGGATAATTCAAAGCTTTTATTTAAGGAACCAGCTCTGTGGATAGCAGTGGCTTGGGCGTCTATGACTGAAGCTCTGTTGAGCAACCGGGCAGAGTTAGACAGGTGAATGGACTGAGCAATTAAGCCAGCCATCAGTGCCAATATTATGACAGTCTATGTTCTATTTTTATGTCAACAATAGTTTTAAGTAAGGTAGTGATGTACTCTCTTTTAGAGTCATTACAACAACGACTGGAGTAAGATAAACACTATGTAGAGAGTTAATTTAACAGTAATTCAGAGTGGGACCAAATGCGCTTGAATTGGTGTTAAACTTGACTCTTAAAGTGTTACTTCAAAACTGCAGGATTTACAAAAGAAAAACAACAACAAAAACTTGAGAACAGCAAAAAGTTGGTGGCATCAGGTTATCACCATGTTTTCATGCCATCTGCTTACCATCCAGGTGTTTGGTTATCAGGAACCATCACAAATATTAACAGTTTGAAAGTTTCTGCATTAAAACATCCTTTTCTTTTTTAAAAGACCACTGTAAAATCACTTTTAATTATCAATATAATTTATTATTTTTACATGTTTTAACTTTCCTGCCCTGTGTGTGTGAAGCACGTTCTAATTTTCATCTGTTGAAGGTGCTTTATAAACGTAATTACCTTGGAGGGTAAAACAACAAAGATCAAGGTTGCGTTTACTGTCCAGATTTAAGTTAAACCATAAGCTGTTCACTTTATTTTCAATGCTTTGTAAGATTGAGCAGTCCCTGTAGCAACCAGGACCTCTCTGAACGCTTTCTCCAGTAGATTTGATATATCGAAGCTGGCAGGTTTGTTTCCGCCCTCTTTTTCAGAACCAGTTTTTGGTTGCGCCCCATAGGCTGCGGCCCAGCACAAGGGTTCCTTTTGTCAGGGACTAATCCGGGGGCTACACATCTTTAGCAACATGGTGGGATAAAAGCCCATCAAACCACTGCTTTATGGGAGCAAATCTATCCTAATCCCACGCTTTA